ACCTACTACCTACTACTAACTAACTACTAACTAACTACTAACTAACTACAAACTAACTACTCACTAACTACTAACTAACTACTAACTAACTACTACCGACTAACTCCTACTACTAACTCCTACTACTAACTCCTACTACTAACTCCTACTACTAACTCCTACTACCAACTCCTACTACCAACTCCTACTACCTACTACTAACTCCTACTACTAACTCCTACTACTAACTCCTACTACTAACTCCTACTACTAACTCCTACTACTAACTCCTACTACTAACTCCTCCTACTAACTCCTACTACTAACTCCTACTACTAACTCCTACTACTAACTCCTACTACTAACTCCTACTACTAACTCCTACTACTAACTCCTACTACTAACTCCTACTACTAACTCCTCCTACTAACTCCTCCTACTAACTCCTCCTCCTCCTCCTACTACTACTACCACTACTACTACTACTACTACTACTACTACTCTTCCTGCTCCTACGACTACTCATACTAATAGTAGCACTAACACTAATACTAATACGAACCCTAACAGTTATACTAATACTCATACTAGTACTAGTAACATAACAATCATTCTCATATGTAGGGTACAGTCCGTTTTTAAGCAACAAAAATGGTAGTTTTCATTAGCCGGGATAGGTCTGGATTAATGACCTCACCACTTTCCATCACTGGAATGATGGGAATTGGATTCGGGGAATCATCTCCACATGGCTGCAAGTTTCAGCTATTTTCAGGATGTGGATTTAATTATTATAGTTCAGCCAGAATATAATCGGAATATAGATAATTGGGATATAATGTATCGGGAATATAGATAATTGAGAATGCATAAAACATATCATTGGGCAACTGGAACTTATAAATGGACATATCAAACCGGGATATATCATGTGACCCATAGGAACCCCCAAACATTCTTAGTCATTATCAGCTCTATGGATTGTTGCAATCCTTGATAAATCCTCAACGAAATTATGGTTTCTGATTGGGGATTGAACTAATCAAATGTTTCGTCAAATGGGTTATATGATGTTATATGTACATGTAGGAGAATAAAATAAGACACATTAATAGCAATAATAATACTAGTAATAGTAACAATACTATTTAAAGTAATAATAATACTAGTAATATTAATAATAATTCTATTAATATTAATAATAATACTATTAATATTAATAATAGTACTATTAATAGTAAAAATAGTATGGAATCACAATGAGTAATATTCATAAAAAATACTAATGATAATCGCAATAAATTTTATTATAATAAAGATGGTAGTAATAATCATCATGGCAATGATAATGGCAGTTACCAATAATTATTAATGATAATAATGCTACGATTGATTGTAATACTACGTATATATATATATACACACATACATGCATAGATATGTTGTACTATATATATATATGTATATGGCAATGTTTACCTGATAAACAACTGATAACTGCTGGAGAATTTTGCTGATTTCCCCCCTTGAAGGGTTATAAACGGGCTAAGTAGGGTTAGTTCACTTGTAACTCGGGTTATAACTTATAACCCACTTACTATCTGGGATGAACCACCAAGTATGGGTTTGTCTGAAAACATGGGTTTCTGCAGACCTACAGGTTTATCATAATTTTTCCGAAATTGGCATATTTAGTGGATAAATCCCAATTTTTAGACACTCACCCAGAAATCATAAGGATCCAATTCCCGCCCTGTAAGTCTCCCATGTTTTGTTGCTGATATCCTCATCATCCCCTAAATGTCATGTTTTTATATCCCATCTCATTGTTGTTGGTTCCCATGACATTCCTAATGAGTAGGTTTCCAAAAACCTTACATTCACATACATATGGGGATTTCAAATTCATGGGGGTACTCCCAAAAATCATCAGTTTTTAGAAAACGGATTTTCCATGACATAAATCAACCAGCCCGGCCCTGCGCGGTCTAAGGAGCAGTTTGAGCCCATGGCCTTTAAGGCTGGCAGTTGCAGCAGCCCCGAACTTTCCAACCTGCGCATCCTGGTTTTTCATATTTATTTTTTGTTGGTACGGAAAAACATCACAAAACTGTGGATAATTGATGATAATTGGTGATAATTGATGATTTGATATTCCGACTTTCTGGAGTTTTTTCACAGAGATTTCAATGCACTTGTGAACTTGTCTGGAAATTTATGGGATGTTTTATGAACCTTGGTGGCTCTACTTGGGACATACCCCCCGAGAACGAATTGCTGGAAACCTGAGACGAACTACATCATGGGGAATGACACTACTTAACTATGGGACGAAATGAAATGACCCAAGTGGTTATACATCAATGGTTACTCCAAGGTCTCGACAAAAATTATGGTAATCTATGGAAAAACCACCACTAAACTATTAGTTACTATGGAAAAAACAACTATGGTAACTATGGAAAATTAAAACTAAACTATGGTAACTCTGGAAAATTTCCACTAAACTATGGTAACCATGAAAACTTACCAGCCATTTTTTTTTCCGCAGGTGGAGACGGTGGGCGATGCCTACATGGTGGCCTTTGGCTTGATGCCGGAGGTGCGTGACGATGAGGATCCCTCCCTGATTGCCTCTCGGCGCAGCCGGTGTCCCCGGCAGACCACGAGTTCGATATATGCGAAATTATAGATAATTATAGACATAGATAATTTAGAAATTTAGATAATGAACAAAAAAAGTCGAAAACAGATTTTCCATGAAATGGGGGTTTCCTAAAATACAAGTACCCCTAGATCATCCATTTTAACGGGGTTTTCCATGATAAATCAACCTTTTTGGGGTACCACCATTTTAGGAAACCATGGAACATCCACAGAGTTCAATGGGATTTTCCATTCAACCCTCCACAAAAATGGTTTGTCCGATGATTTTCCACTGGATTTTCCCAGGCCATGACCGCGCTGCGCGTGGCCGCCCTCTTGCAGAGGGCTGCGGCCAACATCAACGCATTTTGGCACGGTGGGTGTCGAAATCGAACTGCGCTAGATGGGTGTTTCCATAGTCATGGGGGATCCCCAAATATATGGAAATCCCATTAAGATGGATGATTTGGGGGTACCCCCATTTTAGGAAACCTCCATATGGGGGAATGCGGGTATATTTCTTAAGCTCATGGGGTATCATGAGTGAAACCCAATGCCTGGTTCACCAGCCCCAAACGGGTTCACGGGATGGTTTATGGCATTGGGTTTACCACATTAATGGGGGTTTCTCAAAATTGGATCCCCATGTCACCATGGGTTTCAATACTAAAATGCTCGCTTATGACTTGGATGATTAAAGGGGTTTCCTAATTATTATGGATTATGATGAGAAACAGGGATCGTGATAAATAAAGAAGTTGGTGACAAGCAGGGGAAATGGTGATAGATAGGGAAACAAAAATGATGAGACATATGAGCCAAACATGGCCTTTGAGGAAACATGATACATCAGAGGATGTATCTTGGAAGCCTGTTTTCAGACAAACCCGTCGTCGTTAGGCGTTGTGAAGGTTGTGAAGTCGTCACCCAAGCAGCAAAAATGGTAGGATAATGGGGACATCATGGGATAGACCCTCTGGTAATTTAACATAGCTATTGAAAATACCCCATTTATAGTTGATTTACCTATTCAAAATGGTGATTTTCTATAGTTATGTAAACGTTTACCAGAGGGTAGTGGAGATCAATAGCTGTTCGAAATCCCTCGTGGCTGATGGTTAGAATAGTGTTTCAAGAGGGATTTACCCTCTGGTAAACTAACATAGCTATTGAAAATGGCCATTTATCGTGGATTTACCCATTAAAATGGTGATTTCCCATAGTTACGTTAGTTTACCAGAAGGTAAGCACCATTGGGGTTGTAAGCATGTGAGAATTATGGGGATATCATTGATAAGCGGTGGTTGATGATTACTTCGGGGGTTGTGCTATTCTATTATATAGCGGGGATCATCCATGAAGCGGGAATCCAGTGACGTGTTTGATCTGATCGTTACAATAGTGATGGGACTGCTACAGATAGTATACACGTGTAGTAACGATGGGAATTCTGTGCACCAATAAAATGTTATGACATTCATGATTGGAATTCAATATAGACATTGATACGCTACATATATTTGGATACATTATCACAACCTCACATCGACATCATTGCAAGTAATAGCATTTGTCCATATATACATATATATCATATATATATATATGTATATATATATAATACATATATATATAATACATATATATATATATATCATACATATATATATATCATACATATTCATACATATATATATATATATATCATATATATATATATATCACACACATATATATTTATATATCATACATATATTTATATATCATACATATATATATATATCATACATATATATATATATATATTATATACATTATATATATATAAATTATATTATATATATAAACGGGAATACTCCCCAAATGGCTTTAAACTCAGTTCAATTTGCGTGATTTTTCTTGCTTTTACCAATGTTTGATACATGAAATGCGCCTCTGTTCTAGCAAAATCTTGGTTGGAAAGCTTGTGGATTCCGAATGTTTGCGATAAATGGAGAAATACATAGAGATGGGTATATGCCGTACACATAATGTGTATATATATGTATATATATATATATACATATGTGTATTGATAGACTAATCAGCTCAAGATTGAGTTTTCCCTGTTGCGCAGGAAACGGATTGATTTTACCGCCAGATATCTTGATTTGTTTAGCAGAGGATTGTAATTTTGCTGCAAATGGCCATGAAAACAGAGATTCCATAGTTTTTTTTCCCCCTTTTTTTAAATTGTGTGGGGATAGGTGAAAAAAATATTCTTGAAGCTGCTTGCCACTGGAACTAAATGCGAAGGTCCGCGTCCCTTCCCGCTCCTAATGTGGGTTTGGTTTGAACCTGAAGATGCAGGACATGTTTAGAAAGATGCAGAATTGGAGTGTGCTTTTAGATTGCAGCAATATACAATCAAGTGGCCATAGAATCAACATAGATAATGATGATGCTATCACAGCCATACCATTTGGTAACTGACATAGCTCTGGAAAATGTCCCATTTATAGATTAAAGATGGTGATTTTCATTGATTTTCCATAGCTATGTTAGTGTACCAGAGGGTATTCATCATGAAACGGGTTTGGCTGTAATAAAGCGAAGCATCCGTGCTCTATGACCAAAGAGTTCCCGATGCCCAGTTTTGGTGGACCAGCTATAAAATATATAGTAGTAATAATAATAGTAGTATGTGTATATATCATTATATGCACAATGTAATATATATATATATAAATGAAATGCATATATATATATAAATGAAATACACACATATATATATATATATAAACAAATACATATATATATATAAATGAAATACATACATATATATATATATATAAATGATATATATATATATATTACATCTAATATATATATATTACATCTAATATATATATATATGGGTATAGTATTGTCAAGAGCTTTTTGCAGTGTTTGAGAACTTATATAAATCATAGAAGTTGCGCACGTTTCATAGGAGTTGCGCACGTTCCATAGCAGTTGTGCACGTTCCATAGAAGTTGTGCACGTTTCATAGGAGTTGTGCACGTTTCACAAGCCTCCTAATAACGTTCGTGTTCAACTGCTGCGGAATGGACTCAAAACCGAAGCTCTTAATGATATTATACCGATATATATATATATTATATCTAATTTATATATATATATATTATATCTAACATATATATTATATCTAATATATATATAGATATACATAATATAATATATATAATACATATATATATATAATATATATATATATAATATCTAATATATCTATAATATATATCGTATATATCTATAATATATAACATATATATATATATATAAATTATAATATATTATATATATAATATCTTATATATACATCTAATATAAATTTAAATATAAATATAAATATAAACCTAAATGTAAATAAAAATATATATATAATATGTGTAGTAGAGATTGTCATTCGAATTGGACGGACACCTATGCCATTTGTTACCAAAAACCCCAGTCTCTGCTATTCCAGACATTTTTAAACGCTGAAATCAGGATGTTTACCGTGCATACGTCCTAAGAAATCCACCCAGCGATTCATGATGATTCAAGTAATTCCATTTCCATTTGGCAAACATTTGGTACCTGAATATGCATCGGATAGCATCGGAACGTTGTGAACCCGTATCACCCTCTGGTAATTTGTTACATCGCTATGGAAAGTTACCATTTAGTTCGATGATTTAGCTCTGAACATTGGGGAACACATCTATGTCCCTATGTCAGCACCAGAGGCGAATCTGGTGATATTCCATGGGCACCAGGCCACGAGGATATCCTTGGGGTGGATCCTCCGTGCTGAGGACACGTTTCAGATCAGAATTGGTCTTCATTTGGGTGACCTGATGTCACTGGGCGACTGAACACACAAATCACCAGGGTTCCCTGGTTTTCTTCCACAACGATGGGATATTCATGGGATATAGAACCAACTTGATATGATCTTTGGGCAACATGGGGTGAAATTCACCTTCACATAGCCATTTTGATACAGAAAACAAAATTTAGGTGCAATCTGGTAGACCCAATGCCGATTTCTTGTCAAACTGGAGGTGGTTTGTTGATGTTTGTATGGTTTGCCACATTACCTCCTATTTGAAAAGACATACCCAAATTCGTTTTTCACCAAAAACGAAAACACCCTCCAACTTCGTTTGGCACGGGAAACTCGCCATGAAAGGATCGATGATTTATCCATGACTTAACCAAAGATTTTCATGGTCATGACTTCCACGGCGATGCTTCCCATTGAAGGCCGACTCTAGTTTGTTTTCCTTCCCTAGTACTACTATGTCATATACACATCCAAACAATCATAAACATATCTACTGATATAGATTTTGATAGAATTTGTCTCTATAGATACTTCTCTGGATAGTTTGTTTTCCTCAGATCTCTCTCTCTCTATATATATACATATATATATACACATATAGGGTTCGTATACGTAGACCCTGTAGATGTTTCTATACCGGTGAGCTACCCAGGGATCGTAAGTGGGTTAGTTCACCTCTGTTAGTTCACTGTACTAACCTTACTTGTCCTATATATATATGTATATATACAATTATTTCTACATAATCTCTTTTTTTTAATCATCCTGGAGTAGATCGAACAAGGACTATGTCCTCCAGGACTCCAGGATGACAAAACAAATCGATGGCTATTGATGTTTCCCAAGCCTATGGGCCCTATGGGTAAGAATCCCCCATTTTCAATTGGCTCTGGAGTATAATCCCCTCGGTAGAGCTTTGCATTGATGTGAAAAAGCCATGCTTTCCCGTTTGAAACATGATCTACAAATGGTGGCTTTTCCACATCTATGTGAGTTTACAGGAGTATAGCCCATGTCTACTTGGTGTTTCATCCCACAAATTGTAAGTAGGTTAGTTCACCCCAATTACAAGCGGATTCACCTTATCCCATCAACACAATACCAGGGATATTTCACCTACTTGGTATATAAGTGGGATGAACAGCCCAAGTATCCCCATATATATATATAGATATCCCATTATACCCCCAGTTACTTGTATCATCGATTTTCATTAGGATTGTGAATGAAACAAACCATCCAGCTATTGGGGGTATCCCCATCATATAGGATACGTTTATCATGTTTATCACCATATAGTAAGATAATATGGATATGAATGGAATATCATGAAACCATTCAGCGGCCTATCAGGTCCGGCATCATGGGCAAGCGCGCTCCGCTGCGCTACAGCTTGGTCGGCGACACCGTGAACACGGTGTGGAGAAGTATCTGTCGTGGGACCGCCTTGGTCCCACAGAAATCTGTGGGAAATCGTTTTTCCCTAGGAAAATCTGGAAGTTGATCTTAAAAAATGGGATTTTCATGGTTTTCTTTTAGATTGTAACGCCAAAAGAATGTTTTTTTGGGGGATTATCCTTGTTTGATGAATTATTTAAAGAGGATTCTGTCATAATTAGTTCATCTAAGCATGAAAACTATCGAGAAATAATTGTGAATCATAGTGGATTAGGACAGGGGGGGCTATTGACCTCATACCTAGCCTTGATATAAGTTGTTCATTATCAAATTCCTGTATGATGTTAGCACTTTTCACCATCACGATTCGCGGGATGTTCTGATACGGGGGGTAGTGCAACAACCCCTTACCATCATCAACGACCCTTTATTCATCAATTATCTCTCCACGTGTGCATGCTCAACGCAGTTGAACCGCCTAGATATAAATGATGGTCAAATTTCTTTAAGATCTTCAGCTAGTTCCAGGGACCCAGGGATAATCTCATTCAAACTCCATAAATTCATTCAAATTCCCTGAAAAAAACCATTCAAATCACCTTTAGATAGCCTCCTGATGGCTTTCTGCAAACACCTCAAAAATGAGGTCACCTCCTTTAGCACGAATTCACTCTCCGGCCACAGGCGAGTCGAATGGAGTCACATGGTGTTCCAGGCCGGCGGCCCTTAAATTTCCCCCCCCTGATCTTAAGCATCACCATGCATCACCCCAAAAATATGATGTAAAGCCCCTACTAAATTCCCTTGAGGGCCCTGGTGTCTGGGCTTCATAGAAGGGATCAGTGGATGAATTCGGTGTGTGATATTGGAAATTAGTGCGTAGTGCCCATGAAAGTCATGCTGGTTTTAACAGGAGTATCATTGGAATATATGGGAAAACACACGCTTTTTTCATGGTGTATCATGTTGTGTATCCATGTGTATCCATATTTCCTCTGCAGTCCGCATCCACATGTTCATGTTTGAAGTACGAATACCTGGAACCAGATGAGCTCAAATTCCGGAGGTTTGGACCCTCAAAAGACATGGAGGGATTCGAGAGTGAGCCACACAAAAATGCTACAACTATTTCGGCGTTGCGAGGCTCATTTGGATTCCAGGTGTAGGTTATTTACAGGTCATTTATGGTCTATACAAAATCATAGACCTGGATCTAGAAAATTACCCAAAAAACAACAGTTGCGATTCTAAACGGTTTACCACTCATCTTGTGACAAGACGCCTCTGAGAAGTTAACAGTCGAACTGGAAGACCACCGGTTCACAAGGGTAAATCATCTATTTCTATGATTTTCGAGGGGCCATGGCTTCGAAAGCTACTGTGGATGGTCGCGAAATCACCAGTTGGTCGATGGGAAAAAAACCATCATCCCATGACATTCAGAGTGTTTCATAGGAATTTGAATAGTTTCCCTGCCTGGTGCATTTCGCAACCATCCATCGCCAGGAAAAATCCATGTCTCCGAGAGCTTCAAAGTTGCCTGTGACCCCTGCAACGCTCTTGGACATATCAACTTTCGCCGCTGTCGCAGGCGCCAAGTGTGTCGCCAACCACGTTTTACTAAACTAAAGCACCGTTGTTATCACAATAGACAAATCATCATAATCATGATATTATATATATACACACCCCTATAAGTATATTCATATATAGTTGTATGTCATCATATACGTATAGTCATATATAGTTATATGTCATCATATATGTATATTAATATAGCTATGATCTATGTCTGATATGTATATATATATACACACATATTTGTGCGTATATGATATATATATATATAGATTATCAAGAATAGTAGGACACAGATAACAATAATACTGATAAGTTAGAAACATAGAAATGACAATATATGTGCCATGGTCAAAAGTTGGGTCAATTACCTACCCAAATTGAACATGGCCATCAGTTCGGTAATAGGGATTCCTGGGATGGATAGCCATACCAAATATACAGTGTTTTGATGCATATATACATATATACATAATTTTATACATGATGAATATATTAATATAATACAGTCGATTGTTTTATATCTTATACTATGCACACATGTTATGTACAACATATATATAGAGGTCGATTAAGTATTTTATTACACAGAATAATCATGACAATAGAAATAAGATATAAATAATAGTAGCAGGAATTCGAAACAATAATGTAGTAACAACAACAATATACATTACTTGAATATGATACATGTTTATGTAACATGAAATATTGTGGCAGGACCCGATGGTTTGCCTGGACTCCCAACGAGAGTTCAGGCAAACCATGATGATGATGATGATGATGATGATGTACAGTATATGCAATATATATATATACACCTCATATAATGTACAATGTACCATATATATATATATATGTATATCTGTATATGTATATGTAGATATTGCCACCAAAAAATGCAAATTTCCTGTGCAACAGCTCTGAGTTCTCATTTTTCCCAGACTGTTTTGGGATCGGGGCGGGCTTTCCTTCACACCGCATCTGCGCGCCAGGGAAATCAAAGGGAAAGGAGAGCCACTTGGACGACCTGGAATTCTGGGGTGGCTCCTGAGTGGGACTCACAGACGTCCACAGCTCCTGCAATGACCTTCCAGTCTTTTTTTAACGTATGGAAAATCATCTATCGATGCCGGTTTTTAATGGGAAGATCAACTATTCATTGGTGATTTGCCCTTGCCACGTTTGATTACCGGCGGGTATACCTATTTTTTAATGCTGATGGGTCAACTCCCAAGCTTTTTCCCATTCAAGTGCTCAGGCAATGGGGATTTCCCGTTGCCGTGTTTGATGACACCGAAGGGTATTTCTTGTTGTCGAAAACATGTTGATGATCTAATTTGTACATCCAACTTGTTTTTTTTTGTGATATCATGATAGAAATCCTATAGAAATCATATAGATGCTTGTTAAATCATTGAAAAGAACAGCTTTATCATCACATCCTCAGACCCAAGATATTTTCAAGATCTCATCATTATCCCCTTGCGAACTTGCGGCCCTTGCGTTCTCCCATGTTCTTTTTCTCCCCAAGGATGAAGACCTTCCTGGTGGATCCGGAAGAGGCGAGAAGAAAAATGGATTTGGGGATAGCCTTATGAATTAGTTACAAATGGGATATTCTATGATATTTTCTGGAATTCTATGATATCGGATGTGGATATTTTTGATATTTTTCACTACCATAAAGCTGGATCCAGTTCTGCCAAGGGATGCCATAACTCGGGGCAACATCCAGAACTAGCAACGAGTTTTGTGTCGTGAAAACCAGGAAGATCTAAGATCCAATGGCCATTTGCCGGTTTACCCGGCCTGGTAAACGTTTACATAACAATGGAAAATCACAATTTTTAATGGGTAAATCCACTATTTCTATGGTCAATTTCAATAGCTATGTCAAATTACCAAAGGGTATTTGACGTCTACCAAAAATCATTCGGAAGACGACCAGCAATTATAGAGATAGATGAGATAGCCTGCAGATGTTCACCATATTCCACCTGGCATGTTGATAGCCATGATCCATTCAATACCTAAGTTTATGGGATGATATGAATGTTTGGAGATGAAAAGATTGATCGGTACCAGCTATTTATGATGAAAAAAGCGGGGGACTAGTAGGGTTAGTACAGTAGACCCTCAAAACGCCATATTCAATCATATCTGGCTGGTGGTTTGGAACATTTTTTATTTTTCCATATATTGGGAATAATGATCCCAACTGACTTTTATATTTTTCAGAGGGGTTGAAACCACCAACCCGATATTATTGTCCCTTCCTGTAAAAACTCCTGCAGTAAAACCCTATGTTCCATGTACATCATATCGACTACATTGCAGCGTCGGTTCAAAAGTGCTGAGTGCTTAACGGCAGTGTTTGTTGTAGGTCAACCCCATCGGTAATACACCATATTCTTGGCTGACCTGATAAAATACAGGTTATCAGCCGTAGTCTCACCACTTTGCCATGGGGACCCCATCTGACCTTCCTCTCGCCATCCCAGGGTCAGGTCCATCCGGTGCTGTGCCTATCGCAGCCGGGGGTGACTTCGAGCCCATGGATGATGAAACTATCTATCAGCCTGTGGTTCCATACTTCACGTTCATACAAAACAACCTTGCACAGATTACAAGTGGAAACGCACTGCAAGTCATGAGGGAAGCTGAACAAAGGCGCCTTCAGATAACGCATGGAGTAGTTGACTCGATCAAAAATGATTGGTCAAGTAGGCTCGCAATGCAAGAGCAGGAACATGGGCAAAGGTTGCAGGACGTAGAGGCGAAAGCAATTACGGCAATAGCTGAGGAAAGAAAGAGAGGTGATGAACTAGAGGTTAGATTGAATCAGGCTCGGGCAACTCACGATGCTATGGTCGAGGAATTCAAAGTAGACGCAAACACCAAGCATGAGCTCAAGATTGCAGAGGAAAGGCAGCGTATCAGCAATTTGAAGCCCCCCTATGCACAAACAGTTGAGCAAACTAGGACTGCCATAGCTACCGCGAAAAAGCAATATGAGGAACAAGCTGCAACTGAGCAAGCCCGTTTCATTCAGTTGAAAGCGGAATTCGAAAACTACAAACGGGAAATGTCAGAAAAGATCAATGAAGCAGCGGCACAAAACCTTAGCCTTCAGGACCAGATCGATGACTTGCAGGATCAGCTGAATCATGTTGCCAAAGCGCAACCAGCATCCGTGCCGAAAGCATCCGTCCCGAAAGCTGAGCCAGCCGCCCATGCCGGCGTGCCGACCTTCAATATTGCTACTCCGAGAGCACCGGATGCATCCTCTGCAAAAGCCGAGAACGAGCCGATCCTAGAAATCAAATCGCCTGGTGTGTTGGCACAAGAGGCCAAAGCACGGTTGGATGAGCTGCTCAAAGGTGGTGCTCCTCCCGACCCAGCTGTCAGAAATAACAAGCTTCATTTGCCGACGTTATCAGGTTTCATGACTCCAACTGAGCCAATCAAGACTCCCCCAAATGATTCCCCAAAGAGTGTAGGCAAACAACAACAGGTGGTGGGAGCTTCAGATCTTATTGAATTGGTGAAAGCCTTGACCCAAAGGGACGAAAAGGATAAGCCAAAGACTAAGCAAGCTGAAATCATCAAGTTGAATAACATGCCAGCACCAGAATCATACAGAAATTAGAAGAACGATGTGAGGGATGAAGTAAAAAGCCCGTCCGATCGTCCGGATGAGGCTTGGGCTTGGCTGAACGAGGTGTACGACCAGTCTTGCACCCGTGAACAGCTCGAGAAGAAGCTCCAAGATCCTGGGAAGTTTCTCACGCTGGATACAAAGTTATCAGCAGCGCTCACGCGCTCAGCCGGCGGAGATCTTGCCACTAGGATTCTGAACTATAAGGAGCAGCAATCCCGAAAAGGTATCCAAGTCAGGGGAAGATATGTATTGCTCATGTTTGAAGACTATTTCAAAACATCAGAAGAAGCAGGTAGTCTTTGCAGAGTTGACGATCTTTTGGGTGTCGTGAAAGTAGGCGATACTGTCCAGGACTTGAGAAGATTGGTCAAGAAGTGGGACGCTACCCTCGCAGGTATGGCTACAACTCCTGAAGATGCCGTGCTAAGGGATATCCTTCTTAGGCAGATCCGTCCCAGTCAGTTGCTGAAATATGACATTGAGGTTTTTGATCGTGCATCCGAAAAGGCCCATGAGAAGTCTTACGGTTTCCTCCATCAGTCCATGAAAAACCTGATCGACAGAGAACGGCTGAGGGAGAACCGTAACCGCATTGCAGAGAAGAACAAGGCCGGTGGTCCGAAGGACGCAAAAGCTGCACCCGCCAAAGGCGATGCTCGTGGCAATCCCAGCCGAAAGGGTTCTCCGAGTCGGGGTAGGTCTCAAGAAAGGGGCAAAGGTGACAAAGTTTGCTATAAGTTCCAGAAAGGCCATTGTGACAAGGGGAAGAAGTGTCCATTCAAGCATGTAAAGGATGACAAATCAAGAACTCAATCCCCTAAAAGAAATAGAACTCGATCACCCTCAAAGGGCAACAAGGATGATAAGGGGAAGAAAATGTCAAAGGAAGAAATGGCCAAGACTCCATGTATCTACCATGCCCAAGGCAAATGTAGACGTGGTGACAAGTGCTTCTATAAGCATGATGACAAAGCCGCAGCCGCCACTAAGGACACCAAAAGGACCAGTTCACCTGCACCGAAGAAGAAGGGAAAGGAGTCCAATGCCGCTCCATGTCTGATCGATCCTCACCCCAAGTTCGCGTGCATCGCAAAGAAACAGCCGAGGGTAACCTCGAGCTCAGTAGGATCAAGCGTCAGCATGAAGCGTGTCCGATTCCGTAAGATTCCTCAGGTGATCGAGATCGAGGTGAAGGCTGTAGGTCGTCAGGTCCCCGTCAGACATCGTCCAAGAGAGTTCACAAACAAACGTGTACAGAACATCCGATGACGTTCCTGTCTCGTCCAAGGTTGAACAGCATGAAGCGCATGTGAGAGCACGTCAGCTCCAGGAAACTGTGAAGCTTCATGATTCTGATGTAGCACCAAGCTGTGGGTTTTGTTGTTGGAATGAAGACACATGTGACATCACGTGCAAAGAGTGCAGATTTGTTAGCGATCCCAAAGCCCTTAGAGATGTCAGTCGTTTCCCGTCAATTGCAACCGCCGCGCCAAAGGCCGGTGTGAGTTGGCTTGTCGATTTCGGTAGCGAGGCGAGTCTGACTTAGTCTCCAAAGGTATGCTGAAGGATGTCAGTGCTAAGAACTGCAAACCAGCGGAGCATCCGATCTCATTGATCACAGCAAATGGATCAACTGAGGCGAGTGAGGTGGCAGATGTCAAGTTGCCTGCACTTCCGGATCCCGTGCAGCCGTACGTGCTAGATCACGTCCCAGCCGTGCTTTCCGTAGGAACTAGATATGTAGATCAAGGCTACAGCTTCGTCTGGCCTGCCAACGGCAAACTGATCCTAGTTCGTCCTGATGACAAAGTTGTCCAGCTCAAGATCGAAGGTCATGTCTCGGTTTTGGATGACACTTGCAAGGCCTGTACCAAGAAGCAATTTCAGAAGGACAAGCACCTGAAGAAGTTGTTTGCAATGCCGACCTCGCAGTCGAGCTCCAAATCCAAGAGGGATGACGCTGAGGATGAAGAGCAGTTGGATGAGCTAGTCGCTGACGATGCCCAGCAGGAGTACGTCCGAAGTCGCAAGACTGAGAATCTTCTGGCCGGGGCTGCAAGCACACAACATCAATACACTCATGTCCCCAAAAACCAATTTTGCAGGACATGCCAACGAGCAAGAATGATGGCCCCACAAGCTAGAAAGAAAGGTGGTCAGAAAAGGATTGAAACGGAAGTCTTGGGGGACCACATCATTGATGCACAAAGCAGTATGGATGGTCTGAATCATGTCATTGGGTCAAAAGATGATGTTCAAGTCGTGTACACTGACAACTCACCTGAGTTGATTAGAGCCATCAAAGACTTGTGATATAGACATCAGACTTCAATCGTATATGTTGATTCATCAAAGCCGTTTGCAGAGCGCGAAGTTCGCCAGATGCTGGAGGGTGCCAGAAGTAACTTGCTCCAGTCAGGTCTTCCGTTGAAATTTTTGGCCCCTTGCCATTCAGCATCACGCAACCGCGATCAACGCAAGCCCCCAGCTTGATGGCAGTGAATCACCATGGCAGCTCAGGTTCGGTGAGGAGTTTCCTGAATTGCACATCCCATTTGGTGCCAAAGTGTTATTCTGGAACAACCCCAAAAGGGCCGATAACACCGCAGGTAAGCTCTCCCCAACTTCAAATGAAGGAATTTTCCTTGGGTATTATACATCCAGCCAGGTCACGATTGGAAGTGTTAATATTTAGTTGCCAAGTTGGGAGCTGCATGTCAACTGGGGTGCACTGACAATTCAAAGAACAAAGAGGTTGGAATTGCCATCCGAGGGATTCATCTTTCCTTGGAAAGCTCTGATTGACTCGAAAGCACCCAGGTGATTCCGCAGACTCCCAAGGTCGTGCCTCTTGAATCCAGCATGCATCCACAGGAAGAACAAGAATACGAGCCAGGGACG